GACTTATGATTCTAAATTTGAAGCCCATAGTAAAAAATAATTAATAATAAATTAATTATTTTTATTAATTATTTTTGTGGGGAAGAAAATTGTACAACAACACAATAAAATAATAATATTAAAAAAAAAAAAAAGGTTGGGCAGGATATACAAGGACATGTTGGGTGAATAATGTGGGATAGGGATGGGTACTTGAATCCCCACAAATGCAATTGGGATGGGTCGGGTCACGGGCACGAAAGGCGACCAGCCACCAGAATCCAATTATCTAACCTTTTGGGGAAGACATGTACGGACCAAGGTTTGCCATGGTGGATATAAAGAGAGAGAAAGAGAAGAAGATTACAAAATGACGGAAAGGGTTATTGGCGGTTGTTTTACCGTTAAGACCGAGTTTTCAGTTTGTATTAAAAGAGAAGGAGACACTCAAACTACTAAGAGCATCCACATTAGTGGATAATATGGGGAGAATGCAGTATTAATTCACTCCATTCAAGTTTATAGTTAATGTGGGGGGAATTAATTAGGGAAGAATTCATCTGCAAAATAGAAAATAATGACAGAAAAAGAGGAAGAAAAAAAAAAAGAAACATGAAACGCGCACAGCGTCAGGCGCCTGACAGTTCTTTTTTTATATATATATATATTTTTTGCTTTTGTTTTTTTATTTTATTTTTTTTTGTTTTTTTTCTCTCCTTCTCACATTCTCTCTCCTAATCACTCTTACATTATCCCTCAATTCTCCCCAACTAATGTGGATGCTCACTCTCACTGAGGCTCAAACCTATCACCTCCCCCTTAAGGTTGTAACCGGATATCATTAGACCACAAAGTTCTTGACAAAATAGAGTTTTTTTTTTTTTTTTTTTTTTTTTTTTTTTTTTTAATTGAGTTAATGCACAATTTAATTTTCAATTATAGTGATATTTTTAATCTAGTCTGAAACGTCTTTTTGTGTCTAATTGGGTCATCGACTTCGGTGATTTTACTTTATTGAGTCATCTGTAACTATAGCTTGGTAATTTTCTGTCTGTTAATGTGCAATTTAGTCCTCCATTATATGTAAATTTATCTAAATTAGTCATTGACTATAATAGTTAATACGCAATTTAGTCCTTGATTATAGTAATTTTTTTCAATTCAGTCCTTAATTCTAATAGTTGATGACTCAAATAAGTAAAACTATAAAAGTTAGGGACTCAATTTTAAACACAAAAAAGATGTTTAGAACTAAATCAATAAAATTTATTAAAATCGAGGGCCAAATTGTGTATTACCTCTTTTATTATTATTATTACGGAGTATTTTATTTTATTTTATATTTTTTTGGTTTTTTGACAAGAACTGTGAGTCCCACCTCCAACCACGCCAAGATGCTCCGCTCATGCACCCCAATATAACGCAGTCCACCCCATCACAGCAATTCAAAGGAATTTTAAAAAATAAAATAAATTTTACCGAGTATTAAATAGAAAATAAAATAAATTTCGTAACAATTCTAACGAACTAATCAAGAAAGTTCCTAATAACCTTGGTCAGTGTTGTTAACCACTTTTAATGATCGGTGGTCAAGAATCTATAAACACATCTAGCAACTTAATTCATTAAGTTTTTTGGTAATCTTTATTGGTGGTCAATGTTACTAATTACTTTGTTAGTGGTCACCAATTACTTTCCATGGATAATTGTTAATATAGAGAAACAAATTTTTAGATCCTCAAAGTGGTAAAAAAAAGGCATTTAATCTTTTGCTCAAAATCTTGGGGGTACGGTCTTTAATGACTTTTTTTTTTTTTTTTTTTTTTTTTTTTGGTGTGTAATGAGGGAAACACGCAGTTACTATTTGAGAGTGCACACCAAATAAATCCCATCTTGTGACTTTAACCGACAAAGAACTACAATGAGCTAAATGATCTTAAATTTTAATTTATGGCAATGGAGTAAACTATTGTTTTTATTATTAAGAAAACGTTGTGTCCCAATTCTTTTAGTATTATATTGTGTCTTAATATGCCATGTTTAGGTAAACTCATTTATGTGTAATAAATCGTACTAGAAAGATCATATGTAACAAATATAATTAAACTTTTAATTTTCTAATACAAGAATAATGATCCACCCACTCGAAACATCCCATTTAGGGCATGTTTCAATTTGATTATTATTTTAATAACTTGCATCAAACAAAACAACTTACAAATAATTAATAATTAGTGATCGGTCAAAATTGGGTTTACAAACTACATTAAGGTTGTCTTATATGGGATTAAGGTTGTCTTTTTCTTTACAATATTATATTTTAATTAAAATGTATTATATTATCAAAGATTTTGTGGTAAGCGATATAACTGTGGCTCTCTCATATGTGAGGTCATAAGTTTAAACCCCAGTAGAGACCATGAATCTTTATACTTCAACAGATTGAAAAAGTATGTACGAATAAATATTAAAATGTATTATACGTCTCATAATAAAATAGCTTCACACTAAACTTATTTCAAAAATCTTATTCTAATTAAAAAGTATTATTGTACGTCTGATGATGAGGCGGTCTCAAACCAAATTTATATTAATAAAAACAACACTGTCCTGCGACATAGTGCACAACCACCTTAACTTTCTTACTACTTTTATCTATTTTATATTAATGTGTTATGTCTGCCATCAACTATATGATTCCCTTGTGTATTCATTATATTTGATACTCCTACCAATACTTTGGTGGTATGTGACTTCACTCTCAAAATTATCTCTCTACCAACTGCCCACTTACCTTCATCAATGTAACCTTAACAATCCCTAACTTTAATTTTCATCCTCCAACTAATTATCTTAATTTCGGATAAGGATCGGACTAGATTCACTAAATTTAAATTTGAAAGACAAAATTTGTAACACGATAAATAATTGAGGGTTATATTTACTGAAATTGAAAATAAAGAACTAAATTACATAATTGTCAACAATTAAGTGATAAGAGTGTAATTTACTCTCTAAATGTCTTAAGAAAATTTTTCTAAAATCTATGGAATTATTTTAGTATCTGGATATTATAAAGAGTTATTGTTAAGTTTTATCTCACGAGTTTGGGTATTTTTACTATTATTGGTACACAAGTATAAAAAGTCTCACCAAATTTTGTCATATGGCATGCAGGAAATATAAGTGACAAATATTCATGACAAAAAAATGTCTTATTATATGACATGATCTTGTAGAAAGTGAATTTTTTTTTCATAACCTTTGATCACTCACAAGTTATGTAGCAAATCCTGTTAGACTGGGGATAACCTCAGCCAAGATGACTAAGAATACAAACTTGTAATCACAAGGATACGAGTTTGAAGTCTTTTGGTTTGAGCTGGTCATTTATGGGCAATCTAAATTGGTTTATCACCTTGTTGAGCTGGTCATTTATGGGCAATCTAAATTGGTTTATCACCTTGTGGTCCTTTATCAATTAGGGTCACAAGATTAGGTTTACCCAATTCACACCCTTGGATAATGGTTGCGGGTTTCACATGTTACAGAAAAAAAAAATATCATATAAGATTTATCAAATTTTTTTATTAGAAAGACCAAAATGGTAATAACATAAATTTTGACTTTAACTATAGTGAGACGAGAAAATTCAATAGTTATGTTATAGATTAAGGTGCACGTACTCAAGACATTCGTAATTAAAAAAAAAAAAAACATATTTTAATTTTATTTTTTTTCAAATAAAATTAATATATTAAAGTGTTAAAAAAAAATGAGTAAATACTCAAAATGGTCCTTCGACTATAGCTAAATTCACAAATTGATCCTCGACTATTGATTTGAACCAATGACGTCCTTGACTTTGCAATTTTTACCCAATGTAGTCCTCTGTTACTTCAACCTTCTAATGGTCGTGAAATCCAAAGACAAACGTGTAATTTCACGCCCTGGCTCAAAATGACGTCGTTTTGTATCTTTTAATTAATAGTTTTTTTTTTTTTTTTGGAAATTCCGTTTCGCTTTCTGCTGTTAACTTCTAAAACAAATAAAAAATTCATGTTTCGTATGTACAGAATTGTATAATATAGAATACACATAAACTCCTAACATAATACATAATATACATAAACTCTTAAATAATACACATAAGATAAAAAAAATAAAAAATTAAAGAGTAACGGGATTAGACGGATGAAACAGTGCCTGTCACGTCAACCAAAAACGACGTCATTTTGGATCAAGACGCACAATGCATTGTACGCCCTGGTGCACGATATAATTTGCCAATAGACTATAGTCTACAGTAAAATTTGTCCTCTGGTATGAGTTGGGCCTACAAAGTTATCCAATCGGCCCAATAAACCTTTGTGTGTGTTGGGCCTCACATCAAGTAGCCCATAAATCTACAGTTGGCTGTGCCCCCGGCGGTTTCAACTTTCAATTGTCTTCCCTAAATATCTTTATCTTTTTTTTTTTCTTTTTTTTCTTTTTTTAAGAACGAAAGGAGGAAAACTAAAATGGATGAATGGATATTATTTTTAGCATATGACATCATTACTTTTAATTTTCAATTATTACTTTCATCCGTCTGAACAAAATTGAGTACGAAGTAACTAAATATGATAAAATTAGTGATTGATCTTGTGATTTAGTGACTCTTTTAATTGAGAAATTATGAGTTTAAGTTGATAAATAGGAAAATAATGTCAAAATTTTTACATATTACTAATTAATTTATGGACTTTATTACACTAAAATAAAAATTTTAAATGATCTTTTAATTTAGTGACTCTTTTAATTGAGAAATTATGAGTTTAAGTTGATAAATAGGAAAATAATGTCAAAATTTTTACATATTACTAATTAATTTATGGACTTTATTACACTAAAATAAAAATTTCAAAAATCTATTGGACCGAAATCTCAATTATTAATAAATATGATAAGTAGAAAAAATATACTCCGTAATTATAAAATTATAAAATAAAAAATAAAAGTAAGAAGACGACAAATGAAATAAATGAGCATTTCTGTTCGTCCCAGTTCGCTCTGGTTTCTTCATCTTTGTGACCTATCGGTTCTTCCCCTCACGAATCACCATTCCCTATAGGGGCTTTATGCTGAAACATTGATTTTCCCCAAAACTACTCTACTGAAATTCAGTGTCGAAGGTAATATTACCTAATTTGCTATTTTTTCGATCATGAATCAATATCGATTTGTGTGTTTCGAATGCTTATTGTGATTAGCTAGGAGAGAACCAATTTCTGTGATGAAATTTACATGTTATAGGCAGAGTATGTTGAGAATTGTTGAATCCAAGTGAGAAAGAGCAGGAGTATATGTGTGCCTGTATAGAGAATTAGAGACTGGCGCATATATGAATGTGTTTTGTTAGTTTTTCTATCGTGTATTTCCGTGCTTGTTTTGATCTACCTAGTTCTAGTGTTCGCTTGACTGAAAGTAGCATGTAGATGGAAATTGATTGATCGCTGTATTTGGACTTGCAAATTAATGGTGAAGTGTGTGAGAGATAATCTGCGTGTTTCCAATGAATCGCGAAATTTTGTATGAATATCCTATTTTTTTGCTTAAGTTCGGATGGCTTGAGAACTTGTAGTTCTCTTTGTGTCCGAAATACCTGTTTTGGTACACTGCAGGAGCAGAAAATGGAACAGAAGTTTAGTAATTTGCATTTCTGGTTGTGATTTCTAGGATTTCCATTATTTACATCAGTTTCATGCTCTGAATTGAGAGGTGGTTGTTTTATATTTACAGCCACGGGCTGTTGATCAAGATGACGCCTGTTTGCCCTTTTGTCAAGGCTGCTCGGCCTGATGATGCATCTGTTAAGAAACCTGGAGAAAGTCAAAGTAAACAGCATGGCGGCAGTGAGAAGCCCAAGCAGGAGTCTGGGGAGCCAGCTATGGTGCCGTCGAAATGCCCTTTTGTCCATAAACAGCAAGCTGGCAGTGAAATCAAGCCTAATCAGGAATCTGGGGAGCAAGCAAAGGTGTCATCCAAATGCCCCTTTGGATATACACAAGAAGCTGGTGGTGAAAACAAGCCTAAGCAAGTGTCTGAGAAGCCTGGCGTTATGTCACCCAAGTGTCCCCTTGGATTTGATTCTCAAACATTTAAGCTCGGTCCTCTTAGCTGCATGATATGTCAAGCTTTACTTTATGATTGCAGCCGATGTGTGCCTTGTTCTCATGTATTTTGCAAGTAAGATGAAATAGAAAATCTTTTCAAATTTCTTTTCCTGCTTTGTGCATGGTATTATTCCCTTTTAGCTGTTCTCTTGTGGGTACTGTAGTAATGTTCTTGTCCAATTCTGGGATATCAGAGTATGTATCACACGCTTTAAGGACTGTCCATTATGCGGAGCTGATGTTGAGAAGATTGAAGCTGACGAAAATCTTCAGAGCACTGTTGATCGCTTCATTGAAGGGCATGCAAGGATCAAGAGGCCTCAAGTTAATGCAGACCAAGAAGATGTTGGAGAGAACAAAACAGTTATATATGAGGATGTGTCTTTGGAAAGAGGCTCTTTCCTGGTGCATCATGCCATGCGAGTAAGACTATGATTTTTTATTATTATTTGCTGCTCAAGTTTTCACATTAAACTCACTGAGCTGATATTCAGTATAGCTGTTGATTTAAATCTTTATTGAGAATGATTTTGACTTTTGAGTAATTTTGGTGTAGGCATTTCGTGCAAATAATGTTGAAAGTGCAAAATCAAGACTTAGCATATGTGCAGAAGATATTCGAGAACAAGTAGAAAGAATGGGAAATACATCAGAACTGTGCTCACAACTTGGAGCAGTTCTGGGTATGCTTGGTGATTGCTGGTGTGCCTTTGCCCCTTCTTTCTTTTACTAAACTATGTAACTTTGGGTTTTTCCCCCTTCATTTAGCATATAGTTCCTAAGGTCTTGAAACTTCAAGTAATGCTCTATATTGACTCTTGTTATGTAGCTTAGAAATCAATACTGACTTCTAAAAAATGCAGCCGAGCTACAGGAGATGCCGCTTCTGCAGTCAAATATTTTGAAGAGAGTGTCAATTTTCTTTTAAAAGTGCCTAAAGATGATTTAGAGGTTGGTATCTTTGGTGCAAACTTTATGAGCTTTGGATTGTGTTGATAGAGATTAATAGTTGTCAATGTATATTTACTAAGTAATGTATTTTCTGGCATACACCCCGTACTAATTTATGTGTCATAAATCCATGCTGTTTTATATGCATTTCCATGCCTTACCTTATTGCTATCTAATATTTCCAGATAACACACACTCTTTCTGTCTCTCTAAATAAAATTGGAGACCTTAAATACTATGATGAAGATTTGCAAGCTGCAAGATCATATTATTTTCAAGCATTGGATATTCGCCGCAATGCCATCAAGCAGCATTCTCAACCATCTCAGGTCAGTTAACCTTTTACTTTCCGGTGGTCATAATCATAAAACAAGTTGCTTTGGCGAACTACTGTAACATTCCCAGCGTCAACAAGTTTGCAAATTGTTTCATATTTTTGGTTTATTTTAGGCAAAAACATCCGGTGTATTTGTTATGATATGATAAATATTTAATTTATTAGTTTTATTTTGCATTGTTCCCCAAAGTCCCAAACTTGTTTCTTTTTACAGTTTAGAAGCTGCTTTATACTGGTTTTGTTCCAAGGAAGTTAACTTTTCTATATTTTATTTAGGAGAAGGTTAATTTAAAGAAACTCATGGTGTGCTTGTGCCTTGTAACTCAATCCACAATGTTTGCGGTAGAACTAGTTTCAATCTAACCTTTTCCACCAATGGAACTGTCAGGCCTAAACAAAAAATTGGATTCTAGTTTTGAAGAGAAACCATTAGTGAGAAATGTGGTGGGGTACTGTCAAGAACTCAATTTATAGTGTTAAAAGTGCTATATGCATATATATATATTTAAATTATAATTTAAAAAAAACGAGGAAAAAATGTGTCAATTGGCAAGTAGTATTTATTTGGAGAGAAATGGCTTAGAACTAAGTGGCTATTTCCCCATCTGTGATGATGTTTTGGGAATTGGGAATGCCTGTGATCTAATTGGTGATGCCTTGGCTGCTATGTTCTCCTAATATGAGCTTTAGTATTTCCCTTCTCTTAATCTGTCTAATTTTGGCCTATATTATCACTGCCCCAGACCATAGATGTGGCCGTATCACTTGCAAAAGTAGCTGATGTGGACAGAAATATTGGGAATGAGAAAACTGCAGTAGATGGATTTCAAGAAGCCATAGAAATGCTGCAATGTCTGAAACTAAATCCTGAAGAAGTTGGCCTTGAACAGCGGGTATGATTGACGGATGCCCTTTGTATTCGTTTATCTTATTGCAACCAGTGTTCATAATTTTACCAGAAATGCTTATCAACTTTGTGTCTGCATGCACAGAGATTGTCGGTGCTCGAGTTCCTTAACAGTCAGCTTGGCAAGAAAGAGACCAACTCAGGTTCTTGAGTGAAGATTTTCGTCTGTCCTTACGAGGGACCAACGTAAGAAATATCTCTTTGTAAATGACTTGGAAATAAGTGATAGGTATTTCCATTACCTTGTTATATTGTAACTCTGTGATATTTTCTAACTAGTACCCCCACGCTTGAATGTTACAAAAAGAAATAATGATATGCGGTCTGTTTCTCTACTGAGAGAATTGAAGTTTTTTTTTTTTTTTTTTTTTAAACTGCATTTTTCTTCTTGATATTTATATCCTGCCTATTGAGATAGCATTCTAAAATTCTTGGAAACGTGTCCTAAATTGTTGCTTTATTCATGTCTTGTTTTCCATGTTTGTGTTATTAAGACTATTGAGCATATACTTGATTTGTGGGACTGTTTTCGACGTGTTTTGTTTGTGAAGTTTGGATGTGTTTATTAATGAGATTTTCCACTTTCTGAGAAAATGAAAATTTATAAAAGTAAACACAAAAAAAAACCATTTTACTCGTGTGTGTGTGTATATATATATATATATATATATATATATATATATATATATATATATATATATATATAGGCGAGTTCAGGTGCGGCAGTGTCTTACGGTGCGGCAACACCAATAGTTCAACAAATATGCATCATCAGCGTTAGGAAAATACACCACAAAAAACAGAGTAAACAGAGCCCTGCATCACCAAACACACACCATTAGGTGTGAGTAAAAACACCATACACTGTTCAGAAATACACCATTGGGGGTGGTGAGTTATATGGTGTATTTTTTTGAGTCTGTTGTGTATTCTATGATGTTTTACTGCATTTCATTGTGGTGTGTTTTTCTAACACTGTTGGTGCATATTGTTAACACTGTTGGTGTATTCTGGAATTCCGCTGCACCGCCGCACGGGAAGACCCCGCCGCATTTGAACTTTATTTTATATATATATATATAACAAATTACACTTTTGGTCCTGTGGCTATAGGGGGTGTGTTAATTTGGGTACGTGACTTTTAAAATTAACAATTTAGTCCTTTAACTATCATTTTTTAGCAAATTTGGTCCTCTCTGCCAAATTGCGGGTGGAATTTGGCCGGAAAGATGTTCGACTTTTTAAATCGGTCTTTTTAATTGTTAAAAAATAGCGCAAAATTGGTTTAAAAAATAATTGGATCTGAAATTAGGTTTATTCTTCGTGTTCTTCGCATATCACCAGGTAATAAATATAATTTGAAGCTATTTTTTAACAATTAAAAAGATGAAATTACCCCCACCAATATTTGATTTAAAAAGTCAAACGTCTTTTCGGCAATTTGGCCGGAAGGACCAAATCTGTTAAAAAAATGATAGTTAAAGGACTAAATTGTTAGTTTTAAAAGTCACGTACCCAAATTAACCCACCCCTATAGTCACAGGACCAAAAGTGTAATGTGCTATATATATATATATATATATATATATATATATATATATATATATATATATATATATATATATATATATATTTATTTATTTATTTATTTATTTATTTATTTATTTATTTACAAATAAAGAAATGAAAATTTTAACCACGATCCCTTAAATTCTTAGTACGAAATAACAAAATACTTTTACAATTTATACGAATAACAAATAACAGATGTGGATCCAATAGTCTTTTAGAATGTTTGCTGCTAAAATAAACTATGAGAAAATTGGTGGTTATTCCTTTATATATATAACAAGAAAGTTCAGCTAGGAAAATAAGAAACTCTTAACGAGATTGATCATCAAGGATATTCATCACAACTTCAGAAGCTGCGACGATATATGTACTAATTTACTAGAGAGAGAATTTCAATGTAGCTCCAACGATAGTATATGTATTTCCATTGTCATTAAGCTTCCGGGATTTAACAAAGAATCCGCGGAGAAGAAAATCAAGCCTCAATTTGTACTGTTAAATCTTGTACCCCTAGATCGTGGTATAAATCACGCACATATTGCAACACTGGACGATCATCCACTCCCTTCTTCACCTGCAAAAATGATTCATCGTAGCATAATCAATGATCAATTGAATCAAAACAAATAATGCAATGGCCAACAACCATCTCCTTCACACAATTTTATTTATGAAAATAATGGTCCTTATATGATGATGATGACCTTACAACAATAAATAACAATGACAGATGATAAATTGGTAAGAATAAAAATATTACTAAGAATTACTTCTCTACTTGGGATCCTGTCCCTACAATGCTCTGAAGAGACCTAATTTAGTATATATGATGATCCGTGATATGAAAAGACCTACGAGAAATTATATCCACTCGTCAGTAAAGTGGTAAAGTGGTAATAAGACAATTACCTGCAGTGAAATCGATCCAATGGCGTGGCCTGGCACCATTTCCCAAAGACGAACTTGAAATAATTCTGTAACGCTATCATGTGAGGCAACCTAACCACAAAACAAAATTAAACATTAAAGAAAAGAGCATAGAAGCAACAAACCAAATCAAAGAAAAATACCACTTGGGTTCAATAAGGGCATCATAAAGACAAGAAAATCTACCTGTCGCCAGCATTTGTTCAAGGTAGAAGAAGGGATGTTGGGTGGTGCCGTTTGGAGAAGAACTCCAGCAGTAGCCTTAAATAGCGGCATGACAAGCATAAACACTGTGCCTGAAACTAATCCCATGCAAAGGACTTCAGCGTTCTTCACCCTAGAACATCAAGACCATACACAAGTGAATTTACATTCTGCTACTTTAACATGATTAGGCCATGAAAATACCAAACTGCAAATATTATCAATAGGAAAAGTAACATTTACCCTAATGTCAACAACCAGGAAGCCAGGATCAAACCTGCACTGCAAAACAATGAATGTAGAAGACATTAAGCTCTATGAACAATGTGTGCCAGAATTCATAAAGAAAAATAAAGAGCTACTAAGTATAATCAGCTACCTGCGAACAGAATCAGCTATAACGTGCAGACAGACTGAGTGATAATTCATATCTTCAGCCTTCCTATAAACTGCAAGCAACATATTTAGAGTGAGAATCTCTGAGAAAGCAGAAAGATAAGTGAAAGGAAACACTAATATTAAGGAGGCAATTCAACTCAGTGATGTATATTTTAAATTTTCCATAGCAAAAATTCATAAGTTGAAACTGAAAGTGGAAGAGGAGAGTAGCGAATTTCTACAAGTGAACAATCAACAATGCTTATTTTTTTCAGATCACGTGAAGGAACTAGTGCCTTCGATAGCAAAGCCCAAAATAAAGTGGACTGCAATCTCAGGTGAAAATAGTCATTACACATCTTCATGCTTTCATTATATGTTATTTCCATTGGGAATAAGGGTCAAATAGGCCATCAAACTACACACCAAACTGCAATTAGGCCATAAAAAAGCTACAATCAAGTCCTTGGACATCGCAAATTCAAGCAATTGAACCTAACGTGACTTGTTGACCGGATAATTAGATGACATGGCGGTTACCAAATTAAATTTTTTTTAACAAAAAATATTTTAATAATTTTTTAATAAAAAAAAAAAAAAAACACTTTAAAAATGGGGGTAAACCTGCCGGTCACCCCCCTTCCCCCTCCTTTGTCTTTGACAGACAGGCTCTTCATCTCCAACCGGAGACAAAGGAGACGAAGGAGGAGGGAAGGGGGATGGGCGGCGGTTTTTTTTAAAAAAAAATTATTAAATATTTTTTTAAAAAATAAAAAGTAATTTGGTAACCGCCATGTCATCTAATTACCCGGTCAACAGGTCACTTTAGGTTCAATTGCTTGAATTTGCACTGTTCAGGGACCCGATTGTAGTTTTTTTTAGTTGGATGGCCTAATTACAGTTTGGTGTGTAGTTTGATGCCCTATTTGACCCTTAATCATTTCCATTGCCATCGAATTGAGAAAAAAATCACATCTGAAGAACACTTTGTAGAGAGAAGATGCTATTCAATTTATGCAAACACAAGTGCAACTCAAAATAGAAAGATTAAATAGCAAAGAAAACTAGAGCAACATCACAAGCCAAACACATCTTCTTTCTGTTATTACTTTCATAGATCAACTCTATCCACTTCTGAGTTAGAAACATGCTGCATAGCCGTTAAAATGAACATAAGGAAGACTTACCAAGATTAATACGAGCATAGTTTCTGAAGAACCAAACACCAATGAGATTCACAAGCAAGTTGGTAACAGCAGAAACAATCAAGTAATGCCTAGAAAAAGACAATGATCAGATAGGGAAAAATAAATAAATAAGTTACTTCCATACAACCTAAGAGAAAGTAGTACAATTAACTGAAATTACATATTCTCAACTCAAGATTTTTTTCTCCTCTAATGAGTCAGAACTCAGAAGCAATATAGTGCTTTTACTTTGTTTTGGGGAAAAAACAATCAGAGTTCAATTCTAAAATTCCAAGAAGTGCAATGACTAAATTTGTTGGAAATTACTTAATCAGTAAGAATGATAGACAGGTAACAAAAGTTTGCTCCAGTCTTTGAAGTTTGAACTCAAATAATGTTCCACAGTGATTAAGAGTGAAATAATATACCATAACTGAATAGTATATAAGGCCTCTAAATGCAAAAGATAAAATGATAATAGTTGAATAATGATTTTGTAAGCCGACTTTAAGCTCCCTAGGCAAGCCTCAACTCTGAGCCTGGATTTATTATAGTGAAATGAACATTAGCACTTCTTGTAACCACTGCGTATGCCAGGGGAAGGAGCAGACTCAGAGACTTGACATCTTTTGGCCAATAAGATATTCCTTGCCCACAGGAGTTTCTTCTACTAGAATCTTTGAATTTTTAGCAGGCAAACACTTCCAATATCCTACTTTCATTATTTCGTTCCTCTAATAGGTCAAATTATTTATAATGTGCATAGTGCACAATGGGGACATCTTCAGGAAATTGAGATTTACTTTCCAACTTAAGGGAAGACTTGCCTCACCAAACAGAAAACCAGATAGCTAAATTTAATAGAAGTTCAATAGAAAATCTCATTACAATCAGAGAGTGATAAAACTATACACTTATTTGACAAATTTCTGCATCTCATGGAGATGCCAACTTATACTAACTTGATAACTTGATCATAGTTTAACACTTTCACTTTAGTAAAGTGATAAAATTCACACAATCATGGCAAAAAATGTTAGATATCAGGAGAGAAAGCAATGTACTTGTGCTCAGATTCATCTTGAATGAATGCATGAAGTGCTTCCACAGCCAAAGAGAATGATAAAAACAATAGAAATAGCTGTCTACACAAGAAACACAATAAGAAAATTTCATGTTAGCCCTATGTAAGAGAAACAAGAAAAATACAGAATTTACTGTCATAGTCAAACGCAAATGACATTTAGTGTCTATTTCCACTATATTAAAAGACAATATGTTATCCACTTCAAAATTTACAAGCTACATGGTTTTAGGGGGTGAAATACAATTTAAGACAGACCAACAATCATTACTACCAGATTTACCATGTTATTGAAACTTCATTACATGTGCAAGAAGAAAGGAGCAATAGTGCCGAGAATATCATGTACTTACAGCATTGGTGAAAGCAGATAAAACTTCTAGTCTCTTGTACCTGACAAAGGATAAACTGATTAGACAATATACTCAGTAATGTATATCTTAGTAAGCATCAGGATGGGGACAATGTTCGCACAAAATCCCACTCGCTTTATTTAGAAATTCTGATTCTGATATTCAAGATTACAAGAATGTATACTCAACAGGGGGATTGAATCTGACATCCCCTCCCCACCCACTTAGTAACCAATTAACCATACAATCTCTTCTCCTCAGTGAGAAGAAGACCAACATCCATTATGAATTTACTAAAATGGACTCTCTCATACCCACAAAAACACTGAGTTCATTTACTGCATTGCATCGAGCAAGTATAAGGAATTTATGATACAAATTTCAAACTCAAACCAAATAATTACAAATTTCAAACTCAAATCTCACCCATATGTGTAGGTGCGATCAGGCTTTGTTCTGGAAACAGCTATTGCAAACAATGAAAATGTTAAAAGGCCACAGCCAAATGTCAAGTGAAATGCATCAGAAACAAGACCTGAAACAAAATCAACACTCAAATTGATGTACATAAGAGAAAATTCAAAAGAAAAAAATAATCAAAACTGCAGAAAAGGAGAACATAGAGAAGTTGAAACTTATAGTTGTTTCATTGTGAGCTTATAGTTAAAAGTGTAGCTTCCAGTTTAAAAATTACAATAGCTGTATAGGATTGAAACCATAGGACCAAGAGAACAAAACTTAATAGCAACTACTCAGCAGATTCACAAGTCAAAAAATACCATTGTCTATTTGCATTTTCAGCAAAAATCACAAGCCAGAATACAAACAAAACAGTTCTAACATTAAACAAAAGCCAAGAGAGATTGAAACTCCATACCTACTCGGCCAGAGAAAAGGCCAACGAAGAACTCGACGGTAGAATAAGCTACATTGAGTGAAATCAACGCGAATAACCTCCTCATCGGCTTGTTCCCTGACATGACGCCTCGATAAATGGCCGAGAGAAACGAAGAAGCAGAAAATTTCTCGTCAGAGATCTTCGAATCCTCCGAAATTTTGTCGAATGAATCTCGAGTATAGATATCCGGTATATCGATGCTCGAAACGTTCCGCGTAAGAAGAGGCTTTGAGAAACTGCTCGATTGCTGAAACGATGCTTGCCGCGAAAATGCGAATCTTCGGTCGCTGCCGCCGAAACCAATATCGCCGCCATTAGGCGGCGGCCTCGGCGACTCGGCCTCCACCTTCCGGTAATTAAACCTCGAATCGTACTGTTCTGGAACTGTCTGACTTTCCATTTTATTGTAAAATCGGATCGACTGTGCTAAAGGAATAGAGGATTTTTATGGCTGGAACAGAATTATTGAAAGAGCAGGATGGCGGCGGTGCCGCAGAGTAACAACGGGAGCCGAAGATTGACCCGCTGACGAAGTAAACGGACGGTTTTTGGTTTTTAGGTAAAAAGGTAAAGAAGGAAAAAAGTAAATGAATGGAGATGCGGGGGATCGAACCCCGTGCCTCTCGCATGCAAAGCGAGCGCTCTACCATTTGAGCTACATCCCCTAATTAAAATACAAATCTGGTAATAATATATTGAACAGTCAAATAGGCACAATCTTTAGAAAAACAAGGGAAAATGGCACTTTTTCTCCCTGTGTTATATGCTTATAGCACTTTTTCCCCCCTGAATTATTCATGCATTCACATTTGCCCCCTCAATTATTATAAAAGTAGCGGTTTTTCCCCCTGATAATATTAAATGGACATTTTTACCCTTAAAACAAATATTTTATTTATTTCTCTTCTTCAACAAATTATTGCTTATACGTAGGGATGACCACGGTTCGGTTCGAACTGAACCAAACACTATAGCAATCAAATTAAAAAATTTCGGTTATGATTCATAACATAACCCAATATTTGGGTTTCCGTTTATTAAAATCGTGAACTGGAAAAAAAATGGATCCTGAACCGTGAATCGGAGGTTCAAATCGGAATAACTACTAGCAATAGCTTAAATTAGAATTATAATATTTGCAAATAGTGTATGTTTTTTTCGCATTTATATTGACTCTCACATATAAGTATATATAATCGCGGTTTGAGTTTTATTTTGAACCGTCGGTTCACAATTTTGGATCCAATTTGAACGGTTGGTTCAAACTTTCTTTTAAAATTTTATTTTTTTATTTTTAAAATATTCTAAATTCAACACTTAATGTATTTTATTTTTTCAAATCGTGGTTATAATTTGTTGGAGAAGAAAAATAAATGAAATATTTATTTTAAGGGTAAATATGTCCATTTAATATATCAGGGGGAAAAACTGTCACTTAAATAATTTAGGGAGAAAAAGTGTTATAAGTATATAACAAAGGGGGAAAAAGTGTCATTTTCTCAAAAAACAATAATTACCCATTAAACTTTAAAAGATTATAATTAAACATATTTACTCATCTATTTGATGCAATTAAATTAATACAATTAAGTTAAATAATTAGTAAACTTAGGATTAAAACTCGTAAAACTCAAATCGTATTTTTCTAAAAAAAAATAAAAAAATAAAAGAAACCTTGTTCGGGAATATAAAATATTTAAATTGTGAGAAATGTATGGTCACAAAGATCTTCAAAAAAGTTGAAACTAAAAGTCCTTCATACAAAAAGAGTTCAAACTAAAAGGACTCATTTAATATCATTGTTAGAAGTAAACTCGTTGTTAAATATCTAACTTTTTTTTTTTTTTTTACTTTTCAATTATATACAAAAATTTAATAAGTACACTTGTACATGATAGCTCAATATATATTATCTATAAAATAAAATCATATAATTCTGAAAGCATACAAAAATCTAGTAAGGACTTCTCAATATACAAGACTCGATCATTGTTGCTGTTATAGACCAAAGTATACTTTGTGTGTACATAATATAGACTTATAATTATCATATCTTCCTATAAATCAAAGCAAGAGTCAAAGTGTCAAACTGCATGTTGATATCATAGTTTTCAGTGTTAAATTTGTTTTGTTTTGTTTTTTTTTTTTTTTTTTTTCATTTTTCACATCATGCCACGTGCATACCTTACATTATTCCCACTAACAATTAGATTTGAGGTTAATTATTAGTACCAGATTTCCAAATGTGTATTCTGTCACTCCAACGGCTAATTTTCCCACAATTCGCACTAAACAATAAATCAATAATGCAGTGGGCAAGGAGACCATCAATCACCGCCCACTCTAACGGTCCATTTCCCCCCCTAAATTAAGCCATCCATCTCTCTCAGAGCTCAAACATCCTTCCACCTCTCTCTCTCTCTCTCTCTCTCTGTTTTTTTGGAAACTGAAATCTTGAATCTCGAAGCAAAAATGGAGAACAGTGTGAATGCAGCAGCCAAAGTTCAGCATGTGACGAAAGCTTCGTCGGACGAGCTTCTGAGGAAGTTTGCGGAGGTGGGTTCTGAATCGGAGGACAAGCGAGAGCTGCGAATCGTCAAGCGCCGGAAAAAGAGCCAGCTTGCCGTGGCGGCAGCCGCCGGGAAAGAAGCGGCGGTGGTGGAGAGGAAGTCCCTCCTCGCTCCGGCGGGTTCCAAGAGGTCGGCGGCGTTGATTCGGCATCTCGGAATTGGGAAGGCCAGGGTCCGAGCTAGGGAGCTCAGGAACAGGTCTTTCATGGGTACCATAGAGAAGGTAACAACATTAAGTTTAATTTATGTCACAGTATTATTGTCTTTCTTAGAATTTCTGCACTTTAACATGCATTTGAGATATGAATTATGATAGCATTTAGCAGTTATCTTCTGTTTTCTTTGTCATTAGCATAATTATGTTAGATCTAAAAATATAGTCTTAACCTATCGAATAAAATCTAAGAAAAACTTAACTTCTTAATAGCGGAAGCGGCTGTGTAGATGTTCAGTCATAATTTATGGATCTTATTGTGTTGTCTAGACAGCCAGAGTCTTAGCGGCTACGAACTAATTGGGTTGCAGGAAATAGCCCTACCTCTTATACCTTTTCTTTCTGGGCGACGAAGAAGCTCACCATAAATGCTATACACTAAGTAAACTATACTTTATAACCTTAGTCGACAAAGGACACAAGAGGTAAATCAGCCTAAGTTGTAAGTACGTAACTGTTCGGTTCAAATAAAGAAGATCAATAAGTAACTAGCTGAGAGTGAACTTGTAACCTTATGTTACCAAGTCAACAGACCAAAAAATTTACTTGCTATTTGCAATGCTTCTTATTTTAAGATGCATTTGAGATAGCCTTTATCCAATTAGCTTATGTTTAGCATAATTAGGGATACAATAGGTTTAGCACCTAACTCTCTAATCTTAATAGGACAAGTTTGGATAGTTGACAGTTGAATTTGAGTTTAAAAAAAAAAAAAAAAACCTATCAATGCTCAAATATTAAAATAGTCATATCGAGTACCCAATACTTGGTTATGTATACTTTGTGCATAATTTTACTTGGTACTTTACAAATGCTTATTTTACATGATAAAAATGGCCCTTGGTGTCATTTTAGTTTGCAAGAATGACTCTTACATCAGATTGAACTAACCATCATTGATGTTTCTTTTTTCAGACATGGAGAAAGACCATTGGGGGGGCTTCCAAGGTCTTCATGGAGAAACATTATAACCGACACAAACGTCTTATAAATGACATCTACTAGGTAAACCTTAGCTTGTTAAATGCTAATTTTGCAGAATCCATCTGTAAAGAAACTGCAATGAGTTTTTTGGCTATTTAGCATGACAATGTATTAGTGTGTATTTAGCAGCATTCTTTGATTTGTCAAATTAAATCTCACTGAATAAAGTTCTTTCATTTCAACCATTCATTCTGGTCTGTTCTTGATTAAGAGATTGCCAGAACTTTAAAGTTCATTTCTTGCCATCATGAAACCAAAAACAGAAAAACGGGGCAACCCCACCCAAGTTGATTAGACTGTTGACTTGGTAACTACTAACTATTATACAATGTTACAAGTTCGACTGCCAAGAGTCTTGCAGTTCCATTCCAACAATTCATGTGTACTAGTAATACGTTATTGCCACTCTTAGAGATAGACCAATCCAATTGACCAATTCAAATTAAGATTGAAAAGTTGCTTAGTTGGCATGCAGGAGGTAGGCTAGCAGCCATAATGTGCGATTTCGAATCCTATCAAGAGTAGTGGTATAAATTTGTCTAGTTGTAGTACTAGTATACAAGCACGTTTAGACACATTCATTGATTTATTCATATAGACTGAATGGAATTGTCTAGTTGTGGGTACTAATAGAATAATTACAAGTGAAGACTCTCGAATTCAGAGTGCAAACTAACCTTATGATCATATATGTAGATGCTACCCACCCCATACCCAAGATAGCTACCCCCCAACCCAATCCTCCAAACCTTCCCCATTGAGCTTTTATGTTGGCTCAGATAATGTAGGTGAAGTGAAAACATTTTTGTGTGAACTTTATCTCACGAGTCACTTGTGCCTGCCATTTCAAGTTTGGAAAACAACATTTACCCTTTCCATACTCCAAATGCAAACACAATTAAGCTGTTCTGACACCTATTAATAATGCCCACCTCGTTGACTTATTGACAAGACTACTTTTTTTCACACTAATTAATTCCACTATACATCTCATCTCTTAGGCTGTCCTTAACCCAGAAATTTTAACAATTGCAAAGTGACATGGCATGATTATGTGTAAAAAAAAGTCTTTTTTAAAATTGTTTTTATTTTTTACATGTCTTGCAAGCTTTTTGATTTAGGCTGTCCTTATCCCTGCAAACATCTCCCACTCTCAAAAATGAGTCACACTTCTACATCATCTTATTTGCAAATCATCTCTTATTCACACTACATCCCTACAAATCTCTCTTACTCTAAAAAATTGGTCCCACTTATATATATATATATATATATATATATATATATATATATATATATATATATATATATAAGAATAAAAAAGTAAAGAAAAGTACATATTTGCAGGCAGCATGGCTGCCTTGCAATACTAAAGTACAAAGAAGGCTGCCATTCGGCAGCCTTCTTTGTACTTTGCAAACTTGCAAAAGATGCAAGTTTGCATTACACATCATATAACAAAAAAAAAAATAAAAATAAAAAATAATTCCATGTGGCATGCCAAATAAGATTGCAAATGGGTACACTTGCAGGGTAAGGTCAGCCTTAGAAAGCTTGCTAAGTACAATGACAGCTGCCAAATAGCAGCTTTGGCAGCAAAACTTGTACGTTTTTTTACTTTATCTATTTTAATATTATTATTATATATGTATTTGTTTATTTTATTGAAAGTGGGACCCATTTTTAAAAGTGGGAGAGTATTGTAGGGATGTAGAGAAAATAGTTGAAGAATTGCAAATTTGATGATGTGAAAGTGGGACCCATTTTAGAAAGTGAGAGAAAATTGCTGGGATAAGGTTAGCCTTATCTTTAAAATAGATTTAGTCTTTTATTACTAAATCTATTAGCCAACCTTTAAATTTAAGTTATAATTTACTTAAGTTGACACTTTAAAATAAAATTGTGATTTTTTTTTTTAATTAAAAACCAATACTTAAATCCTAAAAACTTCATTTCTTCCTTCGTTCAACTAGTGAAATCTAATTTTGAAGTTCAAGGGATTTGGTCTCTTTTAAATTAACTAACAAATGTACCCATGAGATATGGCATGGGTCTCTCTTTTAACCTAACAGTCTCGAGGCTTGAGTCATGAAAATGCGACTACCTTAAACTACATTATGAAATAGTGTTTTGTCATCCTTTGAAGTCCCATCCGGTATAAACAAGATTAGTCTCAATGACAAAATATAGTTGACTTTATTGTTGGTTACCATAATTAAAAAAAAAATAACTTAGTAATCGGCTAGGGAAGAACCTTTTAGTGAAATCAACTCTTGACCAACAATTAACATTTGAAAAGCTTACGAAAATTCACCTAAATTTGCAAAAGATAAAGACTCGGAAATTGAGGTGTACATCACATGATCTTTCACAGTAAGTATATTGACTTTGAGGTCTAATTTTTGTTTGTTTGTTTTTTTTTTTTTTTTTTTCTTTTCAAAAGAATATGTTAGAAATTAATATTATAGATCATTGTCACTTGGTAATAGGAAATTAGCTCAAGATTGGATGAACTTTGATGAAAGATTCAAAATTGCTAATTGGATGAACTTTGATGAAAGATTCAAAATCGTAGAGTATCCTTCAGAAGGTTAGAGTGTCTAACTTATCTTTATTTGGAGATACTTGATCGACCTATTTATCTGTCATGAGAATACGTGGAGTTTATTAGAATTACCATGTATTTAAGCTACTAGCCCTAACTATAAGGAGAGCTACCATTGGAAGCATGTTTATATATCATATTTAGGGGTCGTTTGGTTCACGGAATGTCAGATTACCTTAGGGAATGTTAGATTATTGGGAATGTTAGATTCCTGTGTTTGGTTAAAATTGGGGTATGTAATATAATCATGTTTGGTTTAGGGTTATCTTTTATTCACACACTATAATATCCTTAAAACTAAATAAATATATTACATGATTTTAAAACTAAAATAAATAAATAAGATAACGGTATCATATATAATTACAATATTAACTAAAATATTGAACTTGAGAAACAAAATTATTTTATATGCTAACCTAGCATAATAAAAATAAAAAATATATAATTACAAAAATAATTATATGTGTGTGTGTGTGTGTGTGTGTGAGATAAACTAACATAACCAAGGTTATCTTACATAACCTTAGAAATTGAAGGGAATCACATTCCCTTCAAAATCCTATGGGGAGGGAATGTGACATTCCTGGGGAATGTTAGATTCCCTGAGATAATGTGAACCAAACACAGGAATGTGAACTTTGGAATATCACATTCCCTTGGTTATGTTATATAACCTGAACCAAACGCCCCCTTAATGTCTTGTAACAGTTAAATAATTTCTTAACCTATATATTCTAATCTTAATAAACTAAGTAATGGGTTGAAACTCGATCTACAGAATTGAATACACAAGTCTTTTTGGCTCACCCTAAGTGACCAAGAACCTTGTTTTCTTTCAATTCATTTCTTTGTCATTTACATTGTGGTGTTTGGTAAATAGTTGTTAGTTGATTGAGTTAATAAGTTTGACTAGTTGATAGCATTAGTTGATTGTTGAAAGATGTTTGGTAAATTAGTTGTTAGCTGATAACTGATTACATGCAAAATAACTTTCTCAAAAAACTTATCGACAATCAGCTAATGCTATCATCGCATTGTTAATAATTGTATCATATGTCTAAGCATCGCACGGGTGCAACTACTAGGTTGTCAGACTTACATATGAATCCAGAGGTATAACATATTTGAGTTGTTTCCGATTAAGTGTTTCCGATTCAAATGTTGAATTATTAAAAAAAAACATTTTACTATTACATAGAATAAGAAGATTATACAATAATCTTAAATTATTAAGAGACCATATTTAATGACCGTGCATCGCACAGGAAACTTACTAGTAATACAAATTAAAATTTGATAACAAAAAGTATTGCTGTTTATAAATTATTATTAAGTGTCAATTCAACTAAACTATGCTTTTAATGTTTTCAAAAAAAAAAAGAAAAAACCATGCTTTTAATGTTATTGTCATCAACCTTAGGTGATTGCATTATTATAGTTATTAAATTGTGAACTAAATTAACATTAACATTCATAGTTATTATTTGAAAGGGAAAGCCACTTATCATGCCAACAAATCATTATCAATATTATCTTCTTCTTTTTTAATACTACTGACTGTATTACAATGCATTATCTGTTCATAACTACTTTTTCAACCTATTGAAACACAAAGAGTCAATATTACCCACTGAAACTTAATCGCACAATTTCCTTTATGAGCGAGCAACTTGGTGTCATGGGACTACAAGGTCCTTACCATCAATACTACCCTATCAACTCCTAAGTTGTTATATGTTAATTCCTATGTTATTTTTGTTATTATAAAATTTAGGTTGTATTTATTTTCAATTTTTTTAGTAATCCACTATCTATTTTTTAAAAAATTAAAATTGAAATAATATATGAGGAAACATATTTTCTATTTTATTTTATTTAATTAATATTTTATATTTATTCAATAAAATAGGAAATTTCTTTTATTAGTAATCACATCTTTGGGTTTGAAAGGTACTATAGTCTCCGGAGTTAGCAATCACAATAAACAGCCACCTAACAACTCTTTAAGTGGAAGAATCAATGCATAGTGCTAACAATGAGTCACCCGTACAAGAAAGTAAAATTCTCACACTTCGACTACCAGGATTCGATAATTTTGATCTTATGTCCTTGTAGTAACCACATCCTTAGTTATTGTATTACTTTCTTTTTCTTGTTTCTTTTCATTATTTAAATTAATTATAAAATTTCAATTTTAATTCATTAGCTAGAATAATAATCTCTTTATATCTCATTTTACTATTAATTAGTCAAATTAAACCAACTATTCGTTTGTATATTTTCTTTAAACATTTTATAATCTTTAAATTATGTTTTTTTTTTTTTTGTATTTAATGATCCATAGTACTTTACTTTATAAACATATATAAAAATTAAGAAATTTTTACATTGTCACAAAATTTTATAAATTTTAAACACAGACTCTCTAACACTAAAATCATGTGGGGACTTAACTCAATAATTTATGACTAATGTTGAAAGGTCACTATGGGAGTGTTGCTAAAAATGAAAATTAAAATTTTGAGACTAAAAAAATTTCAAGAATTTACAGTGAGGTTATTTTTCATTTTATTATTATTAA